GATTCTTCCCTTTAATAAGTAACCATGCTATTCAGCACAGGCATTTTTCTTTCTTTTGTCAAGTCGTGCTAATTAAAATTTTATGTTTGTGATATTATTCAGAAATGATGTTTTCCACTGAGTCATTGACTGTAGGACTCACCCAGGAGGTTTGTTAAAATGCAGAACACCCCCCTCACACACCGGGCCCCAGGGTGATTTTGTGGCTGCATCAAGGCCTGAAGTGTGGTGTATTTTCACCCATATCCTGTGTCAGAGGGGGTGTCTCGGGGTGGCCATACTTTGGGAACCTGTTAGAGGTACTCTGTTTTGGATATCTCAGTGGCTCTTCTTTGTCTTCCCAAGGGAAATCAGTAGCCACCCTTTAGAGGAGAAAGAGAGTCGGGGCGCGGCGGGGGTGGGGTGGGTTTGTGTTTTATATAAGGAGGAAGTCAGCTTGCAGCTGGGGAACGTGACAGTTTGCATGCGGGTGGTGATATTTTTGCATGTCTCCCAGGAAGGCATATGTTAGTTTAGAGACCATGAGGCAGGCAGGAGACCTCAGACCAGAGTTGGCAGGCTCTTTGGGGGAGTTGGGGCGTCTGCAGTGTTGAGGAGGGGACCTCATGGAAGATATGCAAAGATTCACCAAGGCTTCAGGTAGTGAGGTAGAATTCATTAGAACAAAATGAATATTTGTTATGTCATTTGGCTTGATCACATAATTAGCTGTGCACTATTCAGATTTCTTATTTTAAAATGAGAATGAATGGCATCTGTGGAATGGATTTGTTGTAAGGATATGCTCATTGTCTAAGACACCTGGCCCAGTCCAGGATGTCCTGTAGACATCTGGTGAGGGTGAAAGTCATCATAAACAGCGCAAGTGGAATCTGTGCTCAGCTGTCTCTCAAGAACCTGCTAGACTAGGATTCCAGAATGTCCTGGAAACCGTCTGATATCACATGTGACATAGGAGGAGGTGGCAAGCCTTGAACATGAATGTTCATGGCAGTGTTTCTCATGAGAGCCGAAAAGTGGAAGCAATCAAATGTCAGCCAGGATGAGGGCATAAACAAAGTGTGGTTCTTACATCCATGCAGCGGACTGTTCTGTAGAAACAGAAAGGAAGGGCATGCTGGCCTGTGCTCCATACAACTTGGATGCACCTCACCCCTGTGGCAGGAACCAGAAGATTCCTACATGTCCTCATTTTCTTAGACGATGATCATTCACACTCAAAAAGTTCATGTAAAGGAGAATTAAAAGACTAGATCATTTTAGTACTAGATATTTGACATCTATGCATAGTGTTTTCACAATGGACTATTTCCACCCACATTTTATGAAGACCTTTTACAAAGATCTCTAAATCACTAACATCAAAATAAACTGACCTTTTAGTCTTATTTTTTTTCCCTGAGCTTTTTAAAGTACTCTTGAATTGTTAGACAGGCTATACTTAAACTTTTATGTACGTATTGATTTGAAAAGCAGTGAGAGACCTTTTTCCATCCAATGCTTCACTTCCCTTGTGCCTATAACAGCTATGACTGGTTCTAGGTCAAATACAGGAAGCTGCAAATCAATTTACCCGTCTGAGTAGCAGGAGTCCAAATACTTGACCCATTGCCTGCTGCCCACTCTTGGTGGGCATGGCATAATCAGGAAGCAGGCATCCCACATGACAGCTGCTGCACCCAACACCTACCCAAAGCAGCCTGTTAACTAAACAAGTGAGAGAGGAAAGTCAGAACCAAACCAGGTTTGCATTCTAGCCTAGGGTCATCCAGTGGATTTCTGAGTTGGAGGAACCTGCCTTCTTCTCCCCCACCAACACACCCTGGTTATCTCCAGGTTTCCTTCTAGGACATCCCCTGGCTGTGTCGTCTCTGCCTCCAGTTCCTATTTCCCATGGGACTGAACAACTTGAAAAAGAGAAACCATGGAACCAAGGAAGGGAAGGGGAGGCTTTAGTTAGTATGGAAACTAGAGAAATGAGGTTGAGAAAGACCTTAATTATTGAAGAGATTCACCCCCCCCCATCCTTTGGCTGATGCTGGGGTCACTGTCCCAGCAGGCCACCTGCTGCTGCCCTTCCATGAACTGGGAAAGCTGAGACAATGTTGATGCTTTGGGCTGGCATAAATGAAGACTCGCAGCTTGGGAGATCTAACTTTGCCATCACATATGTTTAAAATTTTTTTTAAATTACAATGAAATATTATATACCTAACAAACTGTACCACCCATGATGTGTATATAACTACATATTGTGTGAAATCTGCCTCCTTCCAGAATATTTTCATATCTACAAAAGAAAGCCCTGGACCATTTCTTTACTGTCCCAGCCCTTGGCAAGCACTGAGCCTATTTCTGTCTCTATGACTTTGTCCACGTAGGGCATTTCCTGTGGTTAGAATCATGCAGCATGTAAGGTTCGATGCCTGGCTGCTTCCTCTCAGCAGTGTTGTCAGGATCCCTTCTTCACAGAGTAGCCAGTATGGGTATTCTCTTTCTTCCTGTCATACACAGCATCTGTGGTCATGCTAGGGGGAAAAGTACTGCGAGGTGATGGAGAAGCGACAGACGTCGTACTGCTTCTCTGTGAAGGGGGCTCTGAGGGTCTGCAGGTGCCTCCACCTGCTCTTCACCTGTGGAAGGAGCTGTCTCCTTGCCGTCCAGCTTTGCAACAGCACGCCTGTGTCAGCGTCTTGAGGTGCTGCCAAGGGTTAGACTTTTACAGGGGGTAGTCTTGGCAACAGAAACCTCAGAGGCGTGAGTGTTGATGGTGACATTTCCAACGCGGTGGGCGTGGAGTGGAAATGATGCACTCTTGAGAGATTCACAAGAGTAGGTGCCAGTAGGTGCTGGGTGAGGCCAGGTCTCCTTCTGATCCTCTATCAAGAGTTGGGGAGCATTTCTAGTGACCAGCCCCCTCCTAGCTGCCAAGTGTGTTACTGTTAGTCTCTCCAGTAGGATGGTGTTATCAGTCTTCCTCTTAAAGATGCGCAAAAAGCCTGGTGGAGTCCTTGGCTGGGTTTCACATGTCTGCCACATGGCCAAGTCAGGGTTATAATGGAAGGCTGTTGATCTATTTTCATTGCCCCTTTGTGCCTCTCTCTCTCTCTCTGGCTCCCATTTCTGGCCAGTTCCATCTCTTACACTTGCGTCATACCCTATAAGAAAGAATCTCTCATTCCCCACCCCCAGGTTTTTGGACAAGCACCAGCATGGCTTTCCCACTCATGATATCACACAATATATGTATAGTTTATTTGAGGAGCAGAGAGAGAGAGAGAGAAAGAGATTCTATCCACTGATTCACTCTCCAAATACTTGCAGTGTCCAGGACTAGGTTGAAGTTGGAAACAGGAACCAGAAACTCGATCCAAGTCTCCCATGTGAGTTGCAGGGACCTGAGCACTTGAGCCATCATCGTCTATATTCACAAGAAGCTGGATTTAGAACCTGTAGCTGAGACTCATACTAGCCATCCTGATTATGGGTCATGAGAACCTTAACTGGTAGACCAAATGACCACCTCAGTGTTCCACAATACTTAACCCAAGGGGAAGAGACCTGGCATGTTAGCCCCCAAGTGGTTGTGTATTTCTCTGTTGAATCAAAATCTCACTGTCACTCTTCTGTCCTTCCCACCCCAGGTGTACTAAACTCCCATTCTCCTTGGCTAAAAAAAAAATCCCCACAACCTCCTATACGTGGGGTTCATGTACACACATGCAAACAGGTAATTCGGTTGTGAAATTTCACAATAGATAGACCAGATGCCGCAGCTACACAGAGAGCCAGAGGGAGGCTGCTGCTGGAGGGAGTGGGAGCCATGGCTTTCACTTTGCCTAGTGGTAGGCACGTGGGCCACCACAGGGAAGCACATGCACGTGGCCGAGCAGCTTCCCCAAAGCGTGAGCACAGCTTGGGAGCCACGTGTCTGCAGCCCTTCCCTTTCAGTCTGCTCACCCGTGTTCTAAGCAGCAGGCATCTCAGTGGCCCCATAGGTCACCATGATGAGCCTTATGGGCCTTGCCTCTTATGGGGTGGGGATGTGGAGTCTGGGAGCCCATTGCTTGAACTTTTCAGTTTCTGATCGGGCTGTGGTTTAGCTGAGTAATTCACAGCTCCTCTACTAGAATTCAGATGTGGGTGAGTTCACTGTCTTCCACAGGCACAGCCATTGGTTCTTGGGGTTCCTGGGGGCCCTCTGTCCTCATTTTTAAACATTTTGCAAGTCACAGTCTTGTATTTATGGAGGGGAAATTCAATCAGGGGAACACCTAAATCAGAAGAAGAGAATAAAAACTGCCCAGGAATTCGAACACTGTGGGATCCCAGGTGTAGCTCTTTGTGCTTCTGTGTGTATTCTCTTATCTAAGTTCTCTTTTATCTGTGTTGCTCTGATGACGTTTTAAGAATTACACATACAGTGAAAAAGCAGGTCTGCCCCTTCCTGGAGTCCCTGTGCCCTATGCTGCAGTGAGAAAACCACCTTCCAGAGCTTAACAGACCTCGGCCTCATTACCGAGTGTTTGACATCTTGCTGAGCTGCTACTGGCATTGACCCGCCTCAGCTGGCTTTGCACAGCAGGCCTGGGGCCTCATCTGCTGCTGTGCTCAGTGGTCCTGGGGATTGCAGCTTTTAGATGCCACGGGGAGCACATGGAGTGACACCCTCCTCACTGCTCCCGTACCCCAGACAGGCATAGCATCCCTGTGAGGGATTTTACAGTGGGGCGGGTAGGGTGATGAGGAGAAAGGCCAGGTTCATTTCCCTTTGTGCTTCACCTCCTCCCTCATCCCTCCTCCCCAACCTTGGGGAAACTGTCCCTTTGTGCATTGGCTCGCATGTACACACAGCTCCTCCCCTCCACCCACTTTCCAGCTCCGGCACCCATGGAGATCCCAGGGACCCCACCTTGCTGTGTCCAGCTGTTTCAGACTTCCTGGTTGAAAGACCTACAGGAATGTCACATGTATGTGACCTTTTCTTCCCTTTCCAACAGAAACCTGGGATGGTTCCCCCTCCGCCGGGAGAGGAAAGCCAGACCGTCATCCTCCCACCTGGCTGGCAGAGCTACCTGTCTCCACAGGGACGCCGTTACTATGTCAACACGGCCACCAATGGTGAGTCCCACCTTCAGGTGCACCCTCCGCCTCCCTGGACCCATCGCCATCTGTCTCTCTGGAGAGGTGCCCCTCACTTTGAGGGCTTCTTCCTCCAGGATCTGTGTGCAGCAGCTGCAATTGTCAGGCTGGCCCCATGGTACTGGGTGGCCAGTACAGGTGTGTGTCTGCAGTTCTGGGGGTGTCTTCAGTAAGGAAGCTGCTCTTCAGGTCCTGGTCGCCCACAGTCTCACAGGCATCTTTGATGAACACAGTCTCATGGTCTAGGACTGAGTTTTTACCAAATAAGATTGAAAAAGATTTGGTGGTTGTCAGCTTGTTGGTGTCAAGTTCGACAGGTTAGGCTAGCATGTGGTTTCTTGCAATTTTGGAAAAAAAAAAAAAATCTTACTGAGATTCCCAAGCAGGGATTGTCAGTGTGGGGCTTTTCTAATTTCCCCACCACATCTTATTCTCCTCCTGGATGCTGTTCCTGGCTGCTGTTTCTCAGCTGGGGGCTGCATCTAGATTGTTTATCCCAGCAGGTGCACAGGTTATGTGTGCCTTTACAAATTGTGCAGGTCTACGCCTCAGTGCCCCTAGTGACTGAGGTCTTCCTAAGCCCTCTGCCTGATTCCAGCATCATCACCTATAAGTTGGAAAAGCTTTCTAAAAGGGAGATGCACCATCTGGCAGATTCTAAGATCAGGGGATCGAATGATGCTCAGGTTGTGGTTTGGGGCAGGACAGGGCAAATAGCTGAGAGCTCTGGATGTGGACCTATGGATTCCTTGAGGTCATTAGCATAAGGAAACTCCTAAGATTGTTACCTAAAACTCAGTCCCTGACCCTATCCCTGGTGCCGATCAAAATAAAAAAAATTTTTTTTGAAAGGTAAAGGACAGAGAACATCCAATTTATAGACAAGATGAGAGCACAGCCAATTTCTGCTGAGTCTTAAGTGTGTTTGGGGCTTCTGAAGGGGATACGGGAAATGGGTACTGGGATAGCAAACATCACAGAAGAGCTGCAGGTTTCTGGTGTCAGCTGCTGTGACTTGTCACTGGAGTGATGACACTGCATTCCCTCTCTGGTTCCTCAGGGTGGTCTTTGAGGCTCACGGGTGGTGAGATGAGATCTCATCTGACTAGGCTGCCCCCTGGCTCTGGAAAAGAAGTTGGCATAAAAAACAGGACAATCTATGCTCAGGACTGGAGCCAACAGGGAGCCAGTAGTCCAACCCTGAAGCATCCACCTGCCTCCTGGTTTTACATTCAGTAGTGAAAGATGTTTGCTTCTATTGTTCATGCGATCCAGGTATAAAGATCAACATCAGGGCAGCTAGATTTTCCAGGAATCACAGACACTCACATCCACCTGTTGGCCCAGCTTCAGCTTCTTGCTTTTCTCTGTACCCACGTGACTTGGCAGCCTCCTTTTTCCACCCCCAGGGTTCTGGGGGCGGCAGGGGGTGGGTTATTGGAATGGTTTATGATGATGAACACTTGGAACGCTCCTGGTGCTTAGGGAGACATACAAAGAAGGCAGCTGCCGGCTGCTGTTCAGTGTAGTTAGTTTCTGTCTGTCTTTTGGCAAGTTGCCCTGCTGTGGGTTCAAGGGGTGTTCTAGAGGAAGAGGTAACCAGAGCTTCTAGGAAAAGGGAAGTACAACCATTTCTACCTATCCTAATCTTAAACTTCCTCAAAACAAATGCGTGTGCAGCTTGGCACCGTTGCCTCAGATGTGTGTTTCAGAGGGGAGCGTGCTCAGTGCAGCTCTACCTGTGAGATGCAGAGCTTGGGTCCAGGTGACCCTAGAGCAAGAATTTGCATCCATTACAAAAGGACATGACTGAAAAGGCAACTTTCTAAAATCAACAACATCATTTTCTTTTTTAATTAGGCAGGAGTATATTCTCGCGATTTTAAAAAACCTCAGTGTGTATCCACAGTTTCAAAAAAACAAAGTCAAAATAGGAGTGGTGTTGTGGCACCATGGATAAAGCCACCTGAGACTATTGGTGTGCCGTATGGATGCTCATTCCTGTTCTGGATGCTCCACTTCTGATCTAGCTCTCTGCCGATGCACCTGGGGAAGCAGTAGAAGGTGACCTGTGTCTGTTGGCCTGTGCCTCCATGTGGAAGACCTGGATGGAGCTCCTGGCTCCTGGTTTCAACCTGTTGCAGCGCTGTCATTTGAGGAATGACCCAACAGATGGAGTTTATCTCTTTTTCCTCTTTGTCCCTCTCCTCTGACTTTCAAGTTAGTCTAAGGAGAAAAAGTCCATGATCCTATTTCCAGGAGCTATGTATCACCTGCATTTTCCCAAATATTCCCATTATGTCATATCATAGTCTCTCAGCTTCTAGACATCAGTATGCTTGTTTTTTTATAATCAGTTTTGTAAAATGAATGGAAAACCATGTACTATCTACATTTTTTAAGTGAATGAGTCTGTGCCTTACAGCGGGCCAGCCTCATGTGTCTTTCTGTCCTGAGTCTTGGTCTTTTGTGCCCAAACTGGGTGGATGCCCCATTCACTCCTCCTGTCCAGACAGTAGCTCATCAATGCCCCAAAGTCCAGGACGCAGAATCCTTGTTCTTGGCCTCGTGTTTGTTTTTTCTTTTTTTCCCCCAAACACAATTGTCCCTTAGGGGTTTAATTCTAGGACCTTGTGAAGACCACAATCAGTGAATGTTTAATTCCTGCATATAAAATAGTGTGGTATTTGCGTATAATCTACCTACACCCTCCCATGGTGCGTTTTTGTTTAAAGTTTGATTTCTTTTGTTTGAAAATCAGGGTGATAGAAAGGGAGAGACACAAAGAGATCTTCCATCTGGTGGTTCATTCCCCAAAGAGCCCTAACATGGCAGGCGTTGGGGATGGGTCAGGCCCAAACCTAGAACTCTCACATGGGCAACAGGGATCCAAGTGCTTAGGACATCTTCCACTAGCTTTTCAGGTACATCCCCAGAGAGGCAAATCCGAAGCAGATCAGCCTGGGCTCAAGCCAGCACTCCAATAAAGGATGCTGGCATTGTATGCGATAGCTTTACCTCCCTGGGACACAATACCAGCCGTTATCCAATCATATACTTTAAATCATCTCTTGATGATGTCCCATATCTAAAACAATGCCAGTGCCCTATGAATAGGTTTGACTGCATTGTCTGTAGAATAATGACAAAAATCAAAATGTGTTTACATTCAATACACACGTGTTTTTTTTTTAGCTGTAAATGGTAGAATCCTCAGTCATGAAGCCCATAGATATGGAGGCCATCGTCTTGTGTCTTGTCTTTCTGCTCTAATCCCTAATCTCTTCTTTTCCAGAGGGTGCATGAGTATAATCATTGTTCTCTCTGCTTTGGTTGCTCTGCATACAACCATACACCAGAACCACCGGAAAATCTCATTTCCCTTTGCATAACCTGGTGTGGGATGATCTGCTCATTCTCATGTCTGTTAGGATTTTATGGGTGAGAATTCTCACAGTATTTGTTCTGGTGGTGCAAAACATCAAACAAGACTCCTCGCTGTTTTCAGAAACGGCATTTCGAAAGAGGGCCCGAGAAAAAAATGCATGAAAATCCCAAATGATCCCAAATGTAGAACTTGCTAAATACCAGGATACCATGAGGGTTAAATTCCACATCTGAACTCGTGTGATGAATCATGATCAGGTAACCTAAAATGGTTGCATAAAATTTCCTTTAGACCGTATACACGGTACAGTTGCAGACAGGAATTCCATGTTAGATTCAGGTCCCATCTCTAAGATGTCTCCTTATGCATGGACAAACATTCCTAAATTTTTACAAAATACTCCCAAACACAATACACATCTGGTTCTAAGCTTTTTGGATAAAGGACACTCACCTTTATAAACCTGTCAACATGGTGGGTATTAGAACAGAAAGCTGAGGAGCCACAGAAGGGAGTAGTCAGCCTCATGTACATGTGAGACACATCTGAGGTTGCCACATGAACACAGACAAGGCAGCAATGGGCTTGACTTTGAGGAGCATGAGAAAGGGGAGAGTAAGTCAGGGTCTGGCATCCAGAAGATTCCATGAGGCATTTTGAGAAGTGGGCTCTTTGTTCTGTGGGTAGAAAGCCACAAAGGAGCTCCCAGCAGCAGCTGACACCATCAGGATATTATGGCAAGATTGCTCCTCATGCTGTAGAGTGAAGGATAGGAGGACAATGACCATGGAACCCTAGGACTAAATGAGAAGAGAAATATTGAGGTCAGACAGTGCATCCACAGCAGAGGCTGCAGAAGGAGAGGTAGAATCTGTGAGACAGGATACAGCAGCTCATGGATGGGGAGTGCTCGGATTCTTCCTCGCTTTCTGCCTTGCATGGTCAGGCCCTGCCATGAAAACATAGAACCCAGCAGCGTGTCAAGGGAGGCTTGGAAAAATGACAGCGCATCTGTTTGAGTGTGTGGTTCGTTCGGTTGCATGTGGGTGTCAGATCCAGCACAGGAGAATTGAGTGCCTTTCACCCCTTGCACTAGGCACCCTCGTGCCAGTGAACAACCTGCACAACCATGTGTACTGGCCTCACACTTGGCATGTTCTTCAGCAGAGAACTGCAGAGCTAACCTTGGTCAGGGAGATTTTAAAGGAAGGCATCATTCAGAGACAGGAAGAAAATGGGAGACAAGGGAGAAAAGGTCGTCAAGGAGGGGAAGCCAGAGACAGACAGGAATATAAATCAGAATTCCGGTGAGGATGATGTTTAACGTCTCTGGGGCAGCACAGGTTCGTAAGTGGTGTTGGCCAAGTGGTGACACACAGTTTCAGCGATGAGTTTGTACACCTGTGCTGTGACTTTCATAGACACTCTCAGGACCCTGGAAGTTTGTCCTACGGTGCCCTGGGAAGTCTCTGTTCCCCTACCCGCTGCAATTTGTGGTTCTGCAGGGTCTTCATCATGGAGATGAGCCCTGAGATCAGCCCCAGGCACCACGGGGGGGAGGGCAGGGGGGTTCTAGCTTAGGAAACGGCCT